TCCAAGTTTTCTTCTTATAATAAACAATAAAAAATCATCCGGTTTGCCGTTGTTGCTCTGCGGTATCATTATACTAAATTTGTTGTCACTGCCCCACAACCCTATTTGCAGATGGTCGCGATAGTACCAAGAAGAAAATGCCAGTTTTGTGTGAAGCACCACAGATCACTACTCTCAACCAGTTGCCCACAACTAAGGTAACTTTTCGGTTTTCGATTAGTTTAAAATAACCATTTCAAAAAACTCAGTTTTTGCAGTTGCGTCGAAAATTTGAAAAAAAAAAAACGTTATTTTTGTAAGTGACGGTAGTATGTAACAAATTTTGTTTGATTTTAGGCTTAGATAATGCAGGAGAACGGCCGTCTTTTGAAGCTAAAAAAAGACAGATGTAGTTTGAGAGTCTGAGTTTGGCCCAAGAGTGTTTTTTTGGCAGTTACTAAACTCAGCTAAGCCAAATTCAGGAGGAGGAGAAGGAAAGGGAGGGGAAAAATTGCGACAACCGTGGTATGTCTGCCTCGGATAATCACGTAAGGGTAAAAATGATAGGAGGGGGAAGGGTCAGGGATGCTAGTTAAATCGCAGAGGTCGCAGTGGAGAGTGAAAAAATTGGAATATTTTCTGGAAAGGAGCTGAGATCTTGTTCGAAGATAGGAATTCGAGACAAGAGCAGGGGTTGTGGGTTACAAGGGCCTGTGGTGCAAAACAGGAAACTAGATACTGAGTAAAAGCTGTTAAAGCTGCATTCCAAAACTTCACTGAAATAAAAAAAACCCAATGCTTATGTGCGATTATAATTTTCGTAATTCTCAAACCCATAAAAAAGTGCACTTTATACGGACAACTTTTAGTAGTTGCCGTTTACCGCTTTTTACCTCGCCGACTGTAAATAAGTATGCATTCGAATTTTTCGCAGCTAAAGAATTCCTATTTTCAGCCAGTATTCGGAAACTCATCCGTATGTGCCATTTAAGGAGCGATGGAGAAAGAAAAAGGAAAAAGCTCGATCCGAAGTTTGTGAGTTACAAAATTCATGGGGCAAGAAGATGACGCCCAATGTACACCAGTAAATGACCCGATGAAATTCTTTTTTCTCAAAAATTCAAATTTATTTTTAAATTGCACTTTTCCTTTGATCTTACTCAACTGTTTTGGTTGAGTACCCATTATTCAAAGGAATATCCCAAGACTGCTGAGAGCAATCAGCAAACAACCCGGGTCAAGGATGGTGCTGGGATGTTCCTGTAAACAGGGAGCAACTATGCTAAGCCCTTTCAATCACCTTTAGAAGAAAAAAAAACAAAAAAAAAACAATCCTCTTTTTTCCAGTTAGGCCGTATAGTCTGTCACCATTTCTGAGAAACTCTCACGTTTTTATGCGCCTTCCATACTATGCAAATGTAAAAATGCACACTGGCAAGGGGTTGTTTTGCGTGTATGTGTCTGTGTTTTTCTGTGTTCGCAATTTCTATCACCTACTTTCAACTCGGAAGCCAGGAAGGCTAGAAAGCTTAAAATTCGGGAGTATGCGCCCAGACAGTCCTGTTTTAATAATCATTCGTGTACACTTGGGTCCAAGTGTCACCCAAGTCTCTCACATATAGATACCTAGAAAATTATATAGCGGGAAAGCGATCTCGGGGACTGGAAAAGACAGAGAGCTAACTTTGCAGGGAAATCCTCTGAGCTAAAGATTCAAATTCAGCTATCGCACACGTCTACATTTTGCGTGAGACCACGTTAAAGCTGACAGCTGGTACTGTGCCAGCTTAAAAACTACCCGAAGAACAGTAAATGAAATTTGCCAGAATGTTTATCGTCCATCTGGGAAATCGTATACCTAAATGAAGTTCCAAACTGCGTTTGAACCGCGCCTTGTAGCGAAGGCGATTTCGCTTATCAGAGAAGCTTTTAAATGAAAGATCGTTCACAAAAAAAAAAAAACGACCGGACTTCGTGCAAAATTAAAAATCATGTTCTTGCTCTTTTACGACCCAACACTGCCATCCGGGCCGACGCTGTTTTTCCGTGTACGCAGGAAAAGGCCAAAACACAAACAACATGCGTCTATGTGTTAAACAATAACACAGGAAGTAACTGTGTTGCTAACAGTCTGACTGTTCCAAGTGTTCTGGAAATTTTTTAAGATGTAAACTATGAAAGATTGTTTGGCACCAAAGGCCCGCCGATGAAAGGAACACAGTCGAATATTGACAGTTGTAGGAAAGCAGGAAGTGCCAAGTTTAGCACGGAAATGCACGATCGCACGGGCAGGTCTTGTACATTGCACCTTTGCAGTTTTCATGCATTTATTCATTTTCATTGTATATTTTCCAAATAAAATCTTCCCTGCCCATTTTGGCGAAAAAATCTTGCAATACTGCTTGAATCATTCATATGTTCGTATAAACAAACACACTAACACACACATAAACATATACACACATGCACACAGAAGGACATACAGTTAAGCAATTGCGTACAGCCATATTAACACATGCAGGCAGACGGACATACAAAAATTCAATAAAAACACACATATGATCTTGCTTTTATGTGCTTCACGTTAGACCGTGGGAATGAATAAAATTACGTGTTTTCGGTGAAGAAAAAGGAAATAAAAAAGGGAAAGTCCCACTTTTCTATCGGATATAAATTATCAGAGCGATTACTAAAACTCGGCCCGGATCGGCCATGCAATATACATTCGTTTTTATGCATTTTTGAGTTCGATTTCGAGCTGCGGAAATCGTACCCCTTCAAAAGGAGAGTCTGAATGTCGCGTTCAGGACTGCTAATTTCCCTCCAGGGTCAATTTTTATGCTGAGGATGGAAAATTCATAGGGACTCCTACTCTATAAATTTCGCCTCTAGTCCCAAAACCTACTTCTAAGTCTCTTTCCATCTCCTTCATTTAAAATGGTAGGCTTGTCCACGACATCAAAATCCCACCAACTCAAAAAACCTAGTTTCCGCGCTCGACTACGATTCTCGCTGCTCCTGTCCAAACCCAAAAACGAGTGCAAAATTAAACCCAAAACGAGTGCAAAAAAACTAGCTGGGCCGAGTTTTGGCAGCCGCGATTACTGAAACTCGGCTTGCGGCGTAACGCACGATTTGCGAAAAGTTTTTTCTGCCCATGGCGGGTAAGATTGCC